ACCTTATTGGATTAGCAGTGCCTGTTGACCATGAACAGCCCATGAAGAGAACTCATGGTTTGTTGCTGGCTTGTGAAACGTGGGTAGTTCAGCTGGGTTCAGACAACATGATAAACTCATGTTTCAACAGCAATCTATGTGCATAATAACCTTTTAAGGTCATTGACTTGGATTCTGGTTCAGAAATGAAGGAGGGACTGGAATTCACAAGGTCTGCAAACACAGAGATATGCCAGGCAGTTGCTGATAATCAGAGAGTTTCAAGTTCTTGGGAAACTCTAGCAAGCAAACTGATATGGAGGGGAGGGACCAACATCATGAGTCCAATCATCCACCATCAGTTTAAGAGGAAACAGTAACTGAGAAGTGCCAGGCATCCCAGAAGACTGGCCCACGAGCAGCAGGATTCACTCTGAAGGTGCACTCACATCTTTTTGGTTTGAAAGGTAAGAGAGTTACTCAGCTTGGAATCTGCTTTTTCATCAAGTCAAATTTTCCTAATGGCCAGAGTTCTAGCTTCACTTGCTTCTTTTGTTATGGACTTCTGCAATTCTCTTCTTGTGTATCACAAAGCCAGCCTGGCAGATCAGCATTAATGTAATAAAGACTTTTACTTAGAAAAACTTTGCCCAGATCTATGGATGTTGGAAATGTAAACATAAAGTGGGTACTTTTTATCATACGTGGTGGACCTGTGACAATGTGAAAAAGTATTGGATTAAAATACATAAATGGCTTGAGGAAATGCTACAAAAACCCTTAGCTTTTAAACCTGAAGTTTTCTTATTAGGCATTGTACCGGAAGTTATTAGCCAACAAGAAATGTATTTGATGTTACATGTAATCACAGCGGCGAGGATTGCATTTGCTCAACACTGGAAAAGTGAGGAATTACCCACCGATGAACTGATTCTAAAAAAATTCTGGACTGTGCAGAAATGGATAGATTGACCTTATCACTGAAGGAGAAAGAAGATACTGACTTCTATCAAACTTGGGATTTTTTTATTATTGGCTGGAGAAACGGGAGTTGGCTTAGATTTAAAGATGTTTTTAAGTTATTATAAATGGATTTGAATATGACTATAGAATGTTAAAAGATATGTAGTAGGGGGCTGACCCAGTACGTCCGATGTATTTGATGATTGATGTCTTTAGTATTAGTTTAAAATCTTAATAAAACTCTTTTAAAAAGAAAAAAGAAAAACTTTGCCCTGATGGAAGGGAGGAGAAGATGGGGATGATGGAAGTGTAATGGGGCCCCTTCCACCTCTACTATTCTATGCTTGTATGCTTCTAAGAACAGCCACACCATGATGGTTCAACAAAAACTCAGACCCAATTCATACTCACCCATTGAGTGAGTATGAATTGGGTTGTTCATTGTGGTTGTCTGAACTCAAACTATCTCTCTCACTTCTTTCGCAGTAGCTTCTCACCCCTGCAGGAGAAACACTCTGTCTTGGCCTTCTTCGCACAGTAGTGTGATCCAGACCCCTTGGCCAGGAAGGGTTCCCGCCACCCCATGGCATCCACAGCTGTGCCAGCCTACAGTCAAAGCAGCTCCTGCTTGCCAAACAGTGGAGATAATAGAATAGTTTATTCTTATTTAAACTCTACCATATGACATCGTTTAACATGCTGCAATATTCCTAAGAAACTGAACATACACAAAAAGGTGCATTGATCTGTGTTGTGCACTGAATACACAGAATTTTTACTTAGACTTTGAGTTTACATGCAAGGATATGCGTGAAAAGCCTAACCATTTATGGTACTGAGTATCTACCTGCTTCCTATAAGGCCGTGAACCTTTTTAGGTTCAGCGAGTGGGAAGGTAGTTGGTGAGACCAGGACGCAAACAGATTTGCACACCCATCTGTCTCTTTCACACACACACACACACACACACACACACACACACCAGTAATCTTGATGAAGACAGTGCTTTCCTGTGGCTGGGACCAACAGGGAAACCATTCTCTTGATCAGGATTACTGGGATATGGGGAGGTTAAAGCCTCTCTCCTCCCACTCACATGATCCCAAAGGTCTTAATCTGTGGCTGTTGCACTGTGATGTGCTTAATGCTGCTGCATTTGCAGCTGAGTTTATGGCCAATAGGTGCGCTTTGAGCAGCCATAGGAAAAGGCAGCGTTCCTGCTGAACCCTGTAAAGACTTCCAAAATTTCAGTGGGGAATCTGCCTTTGGGTGCCCCTTTCTCCACCTTCACAGCCCGCATGGCTCTTTCTGCACCCAAAGAGAGATAGGACAGGCACAGGGAAGTAGGAGGGGACCCACTGGGGTTCGGGAAGGGGGGCAAGGCACCCCAGCTTCCACCAAACCCAGGTCATGCCTCGGCCCCTCCCTCTTGAAAGGAGAGAGGCAGCTTTGGCATTACTGGCTGTCTGAATGTTTCTGAAGGCAAGGCCAGCTTGGAGGCTTTGTCCTGGGCTTCTCCTGGTTTCAGCTGGTTGCGTGCCCACAACCAGCTGAAACCTCATGGGCTTGTACCCTTGAAAATATTTGAAATTTAATTCTAACTGGAGACATACTTCATTAGTGAAGGTGCCACCTTGGACAGCTACATGAAGAAAACTGGTGCCGGTGAAGATAAATCTTTCAAGCGCGTACAGTGGTGCGGCAGCCCAGAGTGTGAGTGGCACGTTTATTCAGGGAAAAGAGCACCGTTTCCATGCAGTCATGTGATTGTCCCTTCTGCCAAAAAATGAGGCAATGCATCCACACCCAAAACAGGGGGCAAATGAGGACAAAGATTTGCATTAAAATCTGCATGTGGTGCTCTAGAGATAAAGAGTAGATTGCAAAATAATGGCTCTAATTTACATAGAAATATGGAACGTCTCATCCTAGTGTGGAAGGCTGGCTGGCGACCCATGTGCCTGTCACCCTGGTGCTAATTTGCGTGGACAGCTTCAACACACACATATGTGCGTGCACATGTGCACACTCCACAGCTCGCCCTTCCCACAGACCTTCATTTTCAAAATAGGGCTGGGTGCCGATAGTTTCTTGAAATTCTCTGCCGTTTGCTTGACAAGAAACTTGGGGGGACAATTTCACCAAATTTTCCCAGAGGGAAGAGAACATTTCCGATAGTTTCCCAATCTTTGAGCTCACCATTGGCAGGGGCTGCAGCACAGCTTCTTCCCCACCCCTCTGGGGGGGGGGGTCCTCACTGCCACTGCATCCGCTGGCCCCCACTTTGCATCCACCACAACACAGGTGTGAGGGGCACGATCTTGAGTCCAGAGAGCAACTAGTGGTGTGTCAAAACCTGTTCTCCAATGTCTTGAAAGCCCATTTCCCCCCATGAAGGAGGCTTCCATTTTTCTGCCTCATTCTTGGGGCATTTTATAATTTATACTGAACCAGTTTTAGCGGTGTTTCTGGATTTGCCTATGCACTGCAAGGTGGCCAAGAGTGCTGTGTGTGTGTTTTCTCTGACCTCTCCAGCAGCCTGATCCGGAAAAGCCCTCTCAGAGGAATTAGCTCATGATGCCTTCTTCTGGGCCTTAACTGGCACTAGGTTGCCAGACACATGACTGTACAAGGAGAGACGGGCCTCTCTCACACACTTATCAGCCACCTCATCGGTAAGAGAAACTGAAGAACCCAGAACCCAATTCATGAGGATTCTCTGATATGTTGTTCTCCTTTGTATTTGCCATTGAAAGCAATTTATTTTCTATCAGGTTGGATAGGCGTGGTTGATACAAAGGCTGAAGACATTTTTGGCATAACACTAGGTAACACTAAGTACATGCACACATGTGGGAAGGTTCCCAGCACATGCATGCTAGTCATGTCTGATTCTGGGGCCAGTGCTCATCTCTGTTTGTAAGCCAGAGAGCCAGCATTGTCTGAAGATGCTTCCATGGTCATGTGGCTGGCATGACTAAATGCTGGGTTACATGGAGCACTGTTACCCTTCCACTGAAGTGGTACCTATTTGTCTACTTGAATTTGCATGCTTTCAATTGCTAGGCAGGCAACAGCTGGGACAAAGCCCCATCGTGCAAATTCGAACTGCTGAACTTCCAATCAACAGCCCAGCGGCTCAGCTGTTTAACCCACTGCGCCACCTGCATCCCTGGCATAACACTGCCTGAAAACCAAACGAGGACTGGACAGCCCTTCAGACAAGGGGAGCTTTCAGACAAAGCAGCTGTGTGAAATGTCTGGACCATGGGCCTCACCCTGCAACGGAGATTCCCTGCGTGGGCCACGGAGGATTGGACTCCCTCTGGGGTCCCACCCAATCCCCTCTCCAAGCCATACCCCCCAGCCTTGAAACTGCCAGGGGCTTGGGGAGGAGGCAGTGAGATGGATCCTCTTTGGGAATGAAAGTAGCGTGCTAAGAGTGGATCCCAGCCCTCCAGCATCCCAGCAGGGGAAAGCTCAGTGGGAATGAATCCAATCCCTGGCAGGAGCAGCGACTGGAGAATGTCCAGCCAGCACTCTGCTCAGGGCTCACTGCCTGCCCTACACTATCTCCAGTGAGAAGTGGGGCTGACCCCCGGCAGAAACAGCAACTACAGGCCCTCCTGCCAGTGTTTTGGCCAGGGACCAAGTCCTATCAGGCTGCCAATGCCACTTGGAGAGAGATGATGTGTGAGCTAGGAGCTAGGATGATCTCTGGACAATGGTTGCTCTTCCCAACATCCCAGAGTCCCTCCTTGTATGGGCACCAAACTTCATGGCTTTCTCAGTGTGGGGAAAGGCAAAATGGGGTGAGGGTGATGCTGGGCCCCCTAGAAGCCCGAAGAGAGCACATCCACATGCCAACAGTGGGTAAAAGTCGCAGGCCCTTTGGAGACACAGAAGGGAAGGGACAGACGCCCTGTGGAGGCTGAGCAGGCTGCGCAGGCAGGCTGTGAAGGCAGAGGGAGTTGCCCTCCTTGCCTAGGCATGTGCCATGGATAAACACCCAGCGGATTGATCAGGTGGAGAAGGGCGCATAAAGGCTTAGCTGATTCACGAGCCATGCAGCAACGGTGAGGACCGCAGACAGTCTTGGAAGCCTGCTCTTACTGGACACCCTGTGGCTGAAACGCTTCTACCCCTCCCAGGAACTGCAGGTGATGATGGGCTGGGGAGAGCAGAGTGGGTGAGGGAGGCTTGGCCTGCTGGGGGAAGCCTGCAGGCAAAAGAGCACCGAGGCTTGCTGGACCCAGTCCAAAGGCTCCAAGTGGGCTGAGTTCTCCAGCCAGCCAGAGATGTGCTGCTTGGAGATGATAAGAGGTTGCAGTCCTCAACACACATTTACGCAGGAGTAAGCCCCATCCAACTTACTGAGGTTAACTTCTGAGTAGGCATAAGTGGGATTGCACTGGAAACACTCATTTGTTCACCCTGATCTTGCTCTCCTCCCCAGGAATATTTTAAATGGAGCTAGATTTTAGGGTTCAATTTGGTGGCCCCCACTGCCTGCAGCAGGGGTGGGCACATTTCAAGCTTACGTTGTGGGATCTATTGGTTGCTTGTTTTTCCTAAAACCTTGAGAACCACCAGCTGGACTCTGGTGCAAAAGAATTAAAGAATCCCGGCTCCAGGAATTTGTTTCGAGTACCAGAACGGAACAGAGAATACAGTCCTTGCACCCCAGTCCTGCAGAATGGCAGGTTCATAGCAAATGAGCAGCGCCATCTCAATCATTCCTAGTCACAAAGAGCTTTCTTTATTTTGGCGGCAAAATTTAGGATGTGGGGAAGAATAGTTTTGTTTCTGGTATTGTTACATGATCAGGAGTTACAGGGCCTTGTAGATCTACCGGAAATCTCTCAGAGATCTACTGATAATTCCCAGTTTACCTTCTTCCCACTGTGTCCTACGGAAGAACAACTCCATGCCAGAATGCCTCCCCCCACCCCCCCACCCCAGATTTCATCACCATCCCATGTAGGCTTAGTTTTGCAAACTGCTTGAAGAGCTTCTTCAGCTTTGTTGCAGTACAGAATTAAGAGACAGCTACTGTTTGAGAAAGACAAGCTTTCCTTTTAAAAAAAAGTTTAACGAAATATTTGATGTCATTTCACAGAGAGAAAGAAATTAGTGTGGAGTTAATTGCATGGATTAAAAACAAACAAACAAAAGCCTTTCCATTCCCCCTTAAACTTAGAAAAACATGCTACAGCCAGAAAAGGAGAAAGTGGATTTCCAGAGATAATACTGGACTTGTTCAAAATGTGTTTTATTTGCAACTTTTCCCTTTATTTATATTATCAGGACTGTGACATATATGGAAACACATTCCTGACAACAAAGATGAAGTTATTGTTTCCATCACTAATGGCTTTCAAAATAGTTTTTTCCAGGGGTTGTATACTTTCAGTCTAGCAAATTTCTGCCTTTTCATGTGTCATTTTTCCTATCTGTCATGATTTAAAATTTAATACCCAATTTTCCTTTTTCTAAAATAAAACCTTCAAAAACAAGGATGGAAACTCAGGAGAGGCCCTGGACGACAATGACCCTGTGAAAAATACCCATGAGTTGTGGATTATGAATGCGCAAAGATGCTTTGTCTATAGAAACCCTATGTTGGAATGAAAATATCCCACTCCAAACAGAGCTCACCATTTGTGCTGTAGTTTAGTGGCAAGAACAAAAAAGGATCCGGGGGTGGTTTATAAAAGGCCCCGTTCCCCATCCTTCCATCCCACTTTCTCTCTGATTCAGATGCATGCACACACACACATACACACGCACAATTTGAGGTCTCCAACCTGTGGCCCATAACTTGAACTGTAATTTGTGCTCAGGTCAACCACTCAGTTGATGTTCTCAGATTCGACCAAATGGAATAAGATCAAATGTTGTGCCCCAGCTCAACTGGATTATAGACTGAGCTGTGTTTACACAGCGGTACTTCTGTACTCTTTCAGTGTGAGCAAGACAGCCCGGGGGACACAGAACTCCCTGGAGTCGGCCTAACATTCAGGAGCACAAGGCAGTCATTTCAGTCTTGGTCTCCACCAGAGGACCACTTATGGTTCTCTAGCCAGGACCACAGCGGAGAGCATCCTTCTTCCTCATGTGTGGCCAGATGCGCTCCCAGGGGCTGAGCAACAGCAGCAGCCCAGCTGTGTGGGAGGGTGCAGAACCCACATAATTGGATCCTTCTGATCTGAGACGAGGATAAGGAAGGTGGGGCCAGCCAGGATTTCGGGGAAACGAATTCAGTGACAACAAACTGCTCTCCATCCAACAGCACCTCCAGTGACAAGATAAGCACAGGAATGACGTCTGCTCCCGGTAGGGCCAGAAGCCTTTTGGGGACCGTGCTGAGTCTGGTGGCACTTGCAGGTAGGCTGAAATGAGGTGCCTGAGAGCATGGATGAGGGTGTGAGTGGTTATGTGCATCCAACATGTGTTGTCTTTGTGTGCGCTCTGGAAATTGACCACCTGGGCTGGAGAGAACGGGCGCCAGTCAAAGAGATCAGTCAGCGATATTGGCAGTTAAAGGGGTGCATGGCAACTGATGGGGAAGACTTAAAACCCTGGCAAGCTGTGAGTTGTCAGAGGGAACACCACTGGGCTGTCTGGATAAACAAACCGGTTTGATAGCAGCTATCTGCATTCTAGCTATCTTGGGAGTGGGACAAGAGGCACAATCAAGATAGTTGAATCGCATTCCAGTTACACCCATAAATTATTTCTCTTGTGAATGGTGTACTACATCCCCAAATAATCTCAAAGCAATCTCAAAGCAAATTCAACTCCCCATCTCAAGGGGTCTATCAAGGTTTTTGGGCATTGGACATATACTGACCGGTTGATGTGACTCATCAACATGATGGTATTTATTGTGCAGAGAGGCAGAAATGCAAGGTCCTGTCGATTTCAGCCTGAAAAAAAAACCTTGGAGACTGTGTGGTGTAATGGTTAGATTCTTGGGTCTGCATCAGGGAGGCTTCTCCTGGAATAATTAACAAGCCGTAAGAGTCATTAGGTAACCTTGGATTTAGCACAGTAAGCCACCATGGGAACATACTTGAAGGGCAGAAAGTACTAAACTTAAACCTCAAAATTGGATTTCGCCGGTGTGGAACCAGTTCTAAAGCTGCAACCAGTGCAGAATATGTGACCTGATGCACATATATGCTAAAAAAAAATCTGTCCTAGTTCCCAGTGTGCTATTGAACTAAGTCTGAGGTGCTGCTATTGCTATACATAGCCTTGTACAACCCAGGACCAAGTAACCTCAATTAATATCTCCCCTTATGCCAACCTCCCAGACTATTGTGACCTTCATGGAAAGCCCCATCCTCTCTGCTGCAACCTACAGTTTTCTATCAAGCAGGGACAAAGAGACAGGCCTCTTTGCAGTGGCCCCCATTCTGCAGAATGATCTTCTCACAGAGGTGTATCAAGCCTCAGCGTTGGTGTGTTTTAGGCATTTATTGAAAATGAACATTTTGTTTTGTGTTTTGGCTTTCCCTGATTTTTTATTATTTCTGTACCAATCTTATGACTACTATTTGTGCACGAAGTTTTATTTTTAAAATTTTATTTTTAAATTGGTAAACCACTTCAAGATTGGTTTCAAAGAATAACTGATATGAAAATATTGCCACTAAATAAATTAATGGGCTGGCCATAAAACTGAAATAGAAAAGCCAGAATTGGGGGTTATTTTATATGCCCAGCATATGACAAACACCAGAAAAACAGCCCAAAATATTGACCTCGTCTTATGCACAAACCATTGGTATATACGGTAACTCTCCCATGGGGCTTTTACATATCAGAAAGTGTAAACATTTGGGGAGATTGTAGTGTGATGTAGAAAAGTGTAATAGAAGGGACACGCATGGCACCCCTCACACCAATAAGGCAAGCTCAAACATACCCCCAAAGAAATTCAACAGAATTTCTTAAAACACCCTGAGAATGAGGCAGAAAAAGAGATGCGTCCTATGTAGGAGAGACCCACTCATTTTGTTTTACCATTGGTTGTGAGATGAATGTGCTGCTGCAGCACCGTACAAGAACATGGTCAAAAGTCAATGCTTCTTTGTCCCCAAATGGCTGTCTAAACGAAAGGCGAATCTTGGGTCGGCAGAGGCTGAAGACTACTCTCCTATTCTCATCGGTGTGGTAGCACGTACTTTACAGAGAAAACACCCACTCTGTCCTAGATGGAGATAGATAAGAATCTTCTTTCAGTTTGGTTCTGAGAAGAATTCAAACAAATTTGCAAAAGTTCTCCATATTCAGGACATAAGGAACACAAAGTTTAAAAAATTCCCATGGAGGAGAGACCAAATGGATAGATTTGTCTCTCTAGGCTCACAGTTTTGAGTGCATTGCTCTTAAAACCCGGGTTTGAATCCCTGTGTATTCAGCTATCTCTGTGTTCCACTAGGCTGGACTCCCCTGTGGTTAAAACAGGCTTCTCTTTGTTTACAGCTCTGTGGGAAGAGACACATTCAGCACAGTCTTCTCCATACTGAGAAGAGGTGTACCTATTACATTTGGCCAGTGCAGTTAGTTTTTATATAAGAATTTACAAAAATTTGCAAAGATCTTCATACTCAGAACTGTGAGTATGTACGCTTGACTCTTGCCCATCATGGTTTATCATCAGAATTAAGGAAGGGATTCATGCCTGGGTCCAGGAAGCCATAAATGCCTCCTTTAAAGAGAGAGTGGTTCCAGCCTCTTCAAAAGAGACTGTAATTAAACCACTGCTGAAGAAACCTAATCTGGACTCAGGAGACATTATTAACTATAGGCCTGTGGCCAAACCACCCCCCCCCCTTTCTTGGGCAAGGTGCTTGAGTGGGCGATGGCTGAACAACTCCAGGCACTGTTGGATGGAACGCACCATCCTGATCCATTTCAAGAGCTGGCTTCAGAACAAAGACTGCCTTGGTCACCCTGTGGGATGACCTTTGCTGGGAGAGGGACATAGGAAGTGTGACCCTGGGCCTCTTAGTGGCTTTTGATGCCATCAACCCTGGTATCCTGGATAGGCTGGCCAGGTTGGGAGATGAAGGCACCGCTTTGCAGTGGTTCCGCTCCTACTTGGCCAGCTGATTCCAGAAGGTGAAGCTGGGGATTATTTCTCTTTGCCGTGGCAGTTATGCCATGGGGTACTGCTGGGCTCTATTTTATCCCCCGTGCTATTCAACTTCTACACGAAACACTGGTGGGGCTGGGATGGGTAGTCCAGCAGTATGGGCTGCAGTGCCATCAATGTGGAGGTGACACCCAGCTCCGCCTCTCTTGTTCATCCAACCCGGTGAGGCAGTGGCTGTTCTGAATCAGTGTCTGTACTCTGTAATGGACTGCATGAGGGTCAAGAAACTGAGATTCAGTCTTGCTGAGACTGAGCTGCTGTCGATAGTGGGACGGCTGCTCAGCTGGGTGATATTCAACCTGTTCTGGATGGCTGCACCCCCCCCAAAGGACGGGGTCCGTAGTTTGGAACTGTTCTTGGATCCAGAAGTGGACCCAGTGGCACGGAGCACCTTTTATCGGCTTAAGCTGATACACCAACTGCAACCCTATATGGACAGGCAGAGCATACCAACGTTGTTCCGTGCTCGGGAATCATCTTGTTTGGATTATTGTAATGCACTCTGTAAGGGGCTGCCTTTGAAAATGGTCTGGTGATTCAAAATAGGGCAGCAAGGCTGCTCAGAAGGACTGGCCAACAAAAACGTACCATGCCAGTCCTCTTCCCCTTGCATTGGTCACCAGTTGAAGCCCAGGCCCAATTCAAAGTGCTGCCACTAACATGTAAAGCCCTAAACAGTTTGGGGTCAGGCCATTTGGAGGAACGCCGCTTCCCATATGTGCCTACCCAGCCCATGAAGTCATCCTCTGAAGTCCTTCTCAGGGAGCCCCCTCTAAAGGAAGCACCTTTTTAGGTTGTGGCACCCCGATTATGGAATCGGCTCCCCAAAGTGGTGTGCCTGCCAATTACTCTTTATTCCTTCCAGCGCCAGGTAAAACCCTTTTTATTTACCCAGTTAATTTTTTAATTTGACAATTACATTTTTACTCTCATCTTTTACATTGCATTTCATCTTCTACTGCTGTTATACCTCTTCACTAATCTGATTGCAGTTGCTGCAAGTTTGTTGTTGTTATTTTATTTGCTATATTATTTCTGTTTGATCTTATGCATTATTGATTATATATTGTTGATCCCTGTTTTGCTTGTTGTGCATTTCAATCTTGTGAACTCCCAGACAGCCTCTCCGACTGATGGACAGTACATAAATTTAATACTTAATACATAAAATAGTGCTACCTTAGAAAGTCTATAAATCCACCTGGATTGTCTTAAAGAGCGCACCTATACTGACCTAGTAGAAAGTCTCCTTGCTGTTTTGTCAGTGGGTCTTTGTTAGGTGTGGCTGAACTCAAGGTGTGGTTGAAACTGCCTGTCTAACTGGCCGATTTTTCTCTCCAGTGGTTGCACAGGATGAATCACGGATTATCGGGGGCCACGAATGCCCCAAGCATGCTCAGCCCTTCCAGGTCATCCTCTCCAACAGCAAGAAAAATGGGCCTGATGTTCAGTGTGGGGGCGTTCTGATCGAAAAGGACTGGGTGCTTACTGCCGCCCACTGTGATCAAGAGGGGTAAGGAAACTAAAAGTGGCTGAGCCTGGGATTGGAGCAAGGAAGGGAAGGCCAAACGTTTCCTTCCAGGGTCTCCAGTGGGACTATAAAGATCAGAAAAGCTTGGGGAGGTTTTCAGGCAACTCTAGCAGTGGTACTGCTAGATTCTGGGCTTAAGGGTTCTATGACAGCTCCCTTTAGATGGCCAGATGTGAAGCACATCTGTTGTGAAGCAGACCGCTCTCCCAGTCCTCTCCCACTGCTCTTCCATGCGGGCAAATGTTTCTATATTCCAGATAAGTTAGAACAACAACACATGTTCTTGCCAGCTCTGAAAACAAAACAAAGCTCCTGCGTATGAGCAGTTTTGCTTTTGCACATGTTGCTCTCTAAATGGTCATGGACTTTGGTCCCAGTCCCAGCCCTGTCTGCCCCATTGAGCACTGGAGCATAAATGCTAACCTATTTTGAATGCACTAATTATTTTGGAATAAATCACCATGGAATAATCCTCACAGTTCTGTAGAAATACTGATGCAATTCTAGACACGTCTACTCAGAAGGAAGTCCCAGTGATTGGTTTATTCATTCATTCATTTAAAGTTTTGATATGCTGTCCCAATTCTTAAAGTCTCTAGACGGCATATGGATTTCACTAGGGTGTACTCCTAGTTGGTATGGGATTGCAGCTTACTACTTAACTGCTGCTGCTGATTTTCAGTCCTGCTGAAAATCTATTGAAGAATCCTATACCTGGAGCAGGGTAGGCAGATTGTGTGTTGCCCTGCAACTCTACCAGCCCTAAGCCACCTCGTTAATGGTGAGGAGTGATAGGAACTGCGGGCAAAAACTCCTGGGGAGCCACTGGGTGTCCTCCCCAGCTCTAGTGCATCAAAGAACCTTGAGTGAACCCGAGAGCTTCTTTTACGACAGAAAACAGATGGTAAATCGCGTTCTTTCAAGAACCACTCTTTCCCAGGCACAACCTGTTGGAAGGGCACATGTGCTGCAGTGGCAGGTTCGAAGCCAGTGGTGCAAAGGACAAGGACCACCCCTTTCTCTTCCTGCCCCCACTTCACAACGCCCTTCCTCTCTCTCTGCCAGCCCTCCTCTTCACAATCCCCCCTCTCTTTGCCATCCTGTTCCTCCCTCCCTCTCTCTCTTTTTCTTTTTGGTTCCTCTTCACCAGACTGCTCCATAGCTCCTGCCGAGATCCAGACTGGTGAAGCGCTTTTGAAATTAGGCCAAGGGCTGCATGAAATTAGGCTGAAGGTGAGAGGTTGCCCACGCCTGCTGTATGCAGAGAACATGCCAAAGGACGCAAACGATTGCAGTCATCGTGACACAGTGGGAGGATGGGTACTTCCTGGTACTTTCAGGTGGTTACTTCCAAGGAGTCTGAAAGTCTAGACTTGGGCCTTGCCTTCTTCGCCCACCTTCCTGGAAGGCGTCCCATGAATCAGTGTCTTTCTGTGTTCACACATGAAAAATAATACCCAGGTTCATACATCTCCTGGAACTAGGGTAATTGTCTTATAGATTACTTTGCACATTGAACAACGATGTCAGGAATGCCCGGATCTGCCCAGAAAGCAAGCAAACAAACAAGAACCTAGGAAAGATGGTAAAAAGGATGGGAGCAACCAAACCAGTTTTCCAACCAGAAGTATTTTCTGATAGTTCCCATAGGAAAGATATCAATATGATTTTACCTCTAAAAGGCAGATTATTATGGTTTGTTCTGTTTACTTGTTGCTGCTGGTTGGTTTGATTTCTACACTAAGATTGCTGGGGAACATGGACCAGCAGGTGCTATTGCAAGTTTCTCATGGGTAGCTAGTTGACCCCTGTGTGAACAGCATGCTGGACTGTCTGTCTGTCTGTCTGTCTGTCTGTCTAATTTCTAGCCCATCCCATTAGCCATATGACTCCCTGGGCAGGTTACAGCAACAAAATACAAAATAGAATACAAAATAGAATAAAATACTGATTAAAATGCAATATAAAACAACAATTAAAAGCAGAAAAATAAAATCAATATTAGATTTGGCCTGACCTAGCAGGGCTCAACTTATGTTCTTAATTTAGGGTGACCACTTATGAATCACAAAACAGGAAAAAGGGGACACAGATGTGCATAAAATGGGATTGTGTGAATGCATGTGTATAAAGCACATTTCATTTAATTGCTATAATTTTAAAAAAATGCAAAAAATGTGGGGAAACTCTGTACCTGAGTGCTCAGTCTGTAGTCCAGGACAAGCAACTTCAAGGCTGCTTGTTTCCTTCTAATGATCTATAAAATGCCCTTGGTCTAGACAATGCTTAATGTACAGCATGCTTTCAAACAGTATCCGAATGGCAAATCTGTTTCTTCTTTTGCCCTCTTCTTTCCTGATGTGTGTGGCCAATCCCACAGGGGTCATACAGTTGTCATAAAATCTGTTTTGCAGACTGTTAAGCCCCGTTTTCTCTGGTGTCTCCTCACTGACAGAATCAGCTTTTGCACAAATGCATTCTTAAGCATTTGCACAAATTTGCTCTTGTGCAGATTTGCACTCTCCAAGACACACAAATTCACATTCACAAATCATCGAATTCCCTCTGTAGAGCAGATGTGGGCTTAAGGCACTGTGCAAGACACAGCCTGCCATTTCGCACATCAGTGAGATTCACTTTAACTCCCTATTATAGTTAGAGGATACTTTCCAGCTAGATCTTGTATTATTATTATTATTATTATTATTATTATTATTATTATTATTATTTCTTAATTAAATTTATATCCTGCCTTTTTTCTTCTTGCAAGGAACCCAAGGCAGCTTACATGACCCTCCATCTTATCCTCACAAGAACCCTGTGAAGTAGCTTAGGCTGAAAATCCATGACTGGCCTGAAGTCACGCAGTGAGTGTCATGGCTGAGTGAGGATTTAGAATCCAGATCCCCCAAGTCCCAGTGCAATACTACGCATTGCACTCTGCTGGCTCTCTTTTAGCCCAAAGAACAAACTCCCCTGGATTTAAAATCAGTGAAAGAAGCTACAGAGGCAGCCTTCAGGGCAAGTGAAGCGGAATCTTATCCATTCTTGAATGATATGCACCTGATACCCGGGACCATGGGCAGCAGTCCTAAACATTGGAATGGGAGTGTTATGCCCCCGTCTTCACCTGTGGGATGTTGGCAGGTACGCTCTGCAGCAACAAAATCTGTTATGTGTCCACTCAGAAGTAAGCTCCAGGTTTATTCTTCAGTATGAGCAGGTGTGCAGCCCTAGCAATCTGGACTCATGCAACAGCAATGGTTCAGGCCGACCCAACCAGGAAGGGGCAACCTCAGGACCACTGTGGCACCATGGCCGCCGCCATTCCACAGGCCAAACTAAATCTGCAAATAAATGAAAATTGACCCTTTGGGTGATCCATAGCCTACGGATACCATATTTCTCCTAAAATAATCTTTAAAAATCAATGCCCCCCGCCCCCAAATGTGGCAGACAGGAGCCAGGAAGTTCATGTTGCCAACCATCCTTCTGAACTGTAGAACTAGGAGTTGGACACCAGTGCAACCGTATTACTATGCAACATTTTTATCTAAACATGCTGAAAAGCAAAGAAAAAAGAAAATGGCAGAAGTTCTTTCCCCTCCCCCATTTCCTCAGAATTTCTAACTTTTTCCTGGTCTCTCCACAACTGCCCCATTTTTCCCAGTCTTCCCACCTGTACTAGCCTTTGTCTTTGCCTTTTAACCACATGACGTCACCGGGAAATACCTTGTGAGATTACCAAGCCCCACCTTTGACTCAGGCCCCGGGATGCTGATGGCTTGGCAACTTGAAGCGTGAGTAAGAAACGCCATGCATGCACTAGGCCTCTGGCTCCCAAGCTTAAAAGAGAGACACATACTGATCCGGTTCTGATATCATTGCATTTATTCCAGTCTTGCATACATTTAACTGAAAGCTGCTTCTTCTGGTGGCTCTACTCCACCTCCCAACTCTTGGAGAACACAAGCAAGAGAGAGCTATTGCATTTGTGTCCAGTTCAAGGTTATCCCATAACTATCTGCTTGGGCACTGCAATAACTGAAAGCCGCTGGTACAGGTGGGCCAGACCTACTGTTTGACAGAGCAAGCCCATTGGCAGAGGGTTGGAGGAAACCCCCGAACGCTTGCTGGCCACTCGCGGCCTCCGGGGGACCGTGGGGGACGGATGCAGCCCCACTGTCAGTGCTGAGGACAAGCTCCTCTGCCCACCTGAGCCAGCTCTCATGCACTGAATGGACGTCAGCCCCATCCTGCTCTGGGCCTCCCAGCCTTGCACTGGTCCGCTCTGTTTTGGTACACTGCATCCTCCCCCGCTGTCTCCTTACGGATCTTCTCCTCCTTCTCCCGTGCAGGGAGATCCACACGCGAATGGGAGATTACAGCCTCAGGGCCAACGAAGGCACCGAGCAGTGCATCACCTCCATGAGGAAGTTCCCGCACCCGAACTACAATGCCACCACGCACGACAGTGACATCATGCTGATCCAGCTGTGCAATTCCGCCAACATTAATGACTTCGTCCGGCCCATTGAACTGGCCACCGAGTGTGTGAGGCCCAACACGCTGTGCGAGGTTTCGGGCTTCGGCACCATCAAGTCCCCTGAATGTACAGTAACAAGTTCCAACTACATGCTGGGGGGAGAGGGGGGAGGGCTGTTAGAATTTCCAACTACCAGCAGGAAGAGTGGCTAGAGCCGGCCGTGCTGCCTCTGCCTCCACACCATCATTCGGGTTGATCCGACACCTGCTCTTGAAGAATCGCTCGACCTTGGTGTGGCGTAGTGGAAGCGGGACTCACAGGGATGGGATCTTGGATTAGCAGGAACACTGGCATCTTCTGCCACTTCCTTCTCCAAGTTCCCATCATCCCTGAGCATTGGCCATACAAGGTAGAGCTGATGGGAGTTGTAGTAAAACAAATCTGGAGTGCGCCAGAGCAAGCTGGGGAAGATCAGATTGATCTATTTGAGTAATCAGTTGAATACTATTATGCTAATTATTTTGATTCCTACCTTCTGTTACAACCTCGTATTTCCAATGGTTTCTAGTTACAGAAGACACTTTTATTCTGTGCTGATAAAATTCCAGTTTCAAGTTTTTGATGACTTTTCAAAGTGCAAAATCGTTTCATCTTTCCTTTCTCCCTTGATGCCAGCTGTAAATTCTTTTATTTCCTAACTGTAGCTCTAGGTATTTATTAGTGTCTCTTGTTTGCCAGTTTGGTTCTACACACTCAGTGGCTTTTGACACTTTTGGTCATAACCTGGAGAAATAAAATTCCTATATATTCCTCATCGCCATATTCCTTCAAAATATTTATGTACCAGCTTTCTGCCAGGAATGTGCTTTGTGTTCTTAAATAATTGCACACTTTCTAGTAGATACAAAACAAACAGCGATGGAACCTCACTGTCCTACCTCTGCTGCTGCTGCAGCCAGGTGGGAAAGACCCTGGTCATAGCAGTGCTGGAAAGGAAGAGCTGCATGACGGCTGGTCCCACCTGGCTGCTGGCACATCCCCTACTGTCTCATCTCCCCCTTAGATGTTTTGGGTGGAGGCACAGGAAGGAGCTTGAACCCTGAGCCAAGGCAACATTGGAAGTGGGGCATGCACTCTTTTTGGAAAAGGCAGGAAAAGTTAGCTTGCGAGCAGGTTCCTTCAGGCAGTTCTGGCAGTCTCTGGCGCCGGCAACGCCCTCCCCAGCACCCTTATCACAGCCATACACATTCAATATTCTTTGTCTGCAGCAGAGTTTCCTGACCTCCTGCAGTGTGCACAAGTCTACACAATGTCGAACAAGGACTGCAGCCGAGCATACCCAAACGGCATCACAGAAAACATGCTGTGTGCAAGTGTGAGCAGAGGCGGTGTGGACTCCTGCCAGGTGAGAGGCTCTCCCTTCTGGCCAAGAGAGTGCAAAGCAACGCAGTGTTTGCTCTGGTGGAACAAATAGTCTGTCTAAGACATAAAACCCAGTGCAGCAGAAATGCCCCGGCATGCTGGCTTTTTTGATCATATTTCTTCTAGTAGTACAAGCACTACTAACAGTAACAGCAGAAGTAATTATTGAAATGTTTATATTTCTGGTTGCATAGTGGTAAATTCTGAAGGGTAGGCGCACATCATGGCTACCTCTCTAGCAGGTATGTATGGATTTCATTATACCTGTTCCGACTCTGCTTCACGGAACCCTGCTTTGCCCAGTCATCCACTAAATGATGGGATTGGGGGATGGGATTTTTATGAGAATGCTGTTTAACTCCTGCTAATTCACATCAGCTGCAATCCACCTTTTGAAAGAATGAAGAGCAAATACCTGTGCTGCATCATTCAGTTCATACTCTCAAAAGAAGACTAAAGAGAGCTGGACTACAGCCACTTGCAAGAAGAGCTCGAGATACATAAAATTCAGAGCCCAACCAGCAATCCAGTCTCTATGTCCCCATCTTTGTTCTGTGATATTCATATACATTATAAAAATTGAGAAAATGTACAAGTGCTGTTATTTTTCACTTTTCTTTGGAACTGTATCATTTTGTATAATTGATTGCAATGTTGCAAGTTGTACAGAGTGCAAGGAACCATGTACAGGGATGTCAGAAATCTGCAACAAATTTGAATGAGTTTGAATTTCTAAGAATTTGGATTCCATAGTGGGCCAGCTTTTCCCAAGATTCCACAGCAGTGCAGATTATTTCTTCACACCCATAACTGTATACAAATTTGGTCATATAAATATATGAAAAATAAACGCTGACCAAAAATATGCATTTCTGTTATAGGCTAAAGCACAAAAACAAACATTTTAGTGGGACTTACTCATTTCCAGAAGTGCAGATTTGCATAATTTAATATGTGCATATTTACACTTGCACCAAATCCAATTCTATCAATGAGCAGATGATGAAACGAAAGGAGACTGACAATCCACAAAATGTTGATGGAACGAGTTTTACAGTGTCTGGCAGCACTTGCCTCCATCAGCTTAGTCCATTCTGCCAGATCTCCACCCTGCAGAAAGGAAGTGATAATAAATCTGTTGTTTCTTAAAGATGGATCGGCAGGCAGTATGGACAGGGGCGCCTCATCTGTGGAATGCCCTTCCCAGTCAGCTACGCCAGCCCCCTTCTTAATCAGTCTGTTAAGCATAGCTTTTTGAAGCTGGCTTTATTTCGGAAGACTGACTTTGTGTGGATCCCAGTGTGGCTTTTCTTATCTGTGAACTGCTGCTTTTTAATAATGGGTTTGGACACTGGTGCAATTTTATTGCTGTTTTATCTTGTGATCTGTGTGCTGCCTTGAGAGACAGGATACGGACGTTCAAACACATGGCTGAATTGTGATTCTTTTCTCGCTGCAGGGCGACTCCGGCGGACCCCTGGTGTGCAACCGCAAACTGCAAGGCCTTGTCTCTTGGGGGATGCAAATTTGTGCAAGGCCTGGGAAGCCCGGCGTCTATACAAACGTCTGCCGATTCACCGACTGGATCCGGAACACCATCCAAAGGAACTCAGGCAACCGAGCAGCATACACGTACTAGTGCAACGGGGAGCCACCAACACCCCAGGGTGCCAGAATAAAACCGAGCTACCACGAATCTGAGTTTTGCTGTGTCCTCGGCCTGTCACGCCATCCCTTTGGGACTCAAATGGGTGCTCTGTGTATGGCGGGGGGCAGAGATCCTCGGGGCTCCCCAGCAAAGAAGAAAAGCATCACACACACTCAAAGAGGACAAAAGAGAGGGCAGCACACCATAAATGCACCCATATCCAAAGTGAGAAATGATTGCTGTAATTCAAATAGAGATAGAACCATCCCACCAAAGTAGGAAAGACTAACTCTTCAGTTGGCTGTCCAGATGCTAATTATTAATAGGCAATTTCCACAGCTGTTTTTTCCATTTTATTTTGTTTCTATAACACCCAATTGTCAAAGCTCTCTGGGGAGTGAACAGCTAATAAATATATTATAATAAATAAATTATGAATACATGAATGAATGAATAATAAATAAAACAAATATTAAAATAAAACAATAAAATATGGCTGCAACTACCTGCTAGTTTTGAGTTTGGGGAAGTTGGTCCTGGTATGGAGAGAGAAGAAAAGAATCACAGGGGTGTGGGAGTAATAGCTGTGAATGGAGATAGAGATGATAAGGTGTTCTTTGGAAATATGGAGATTTCTTTTGTGTGGAGGAAGAGACAAACATGGCACAATTTCTCCCACCCAACATACACTTCTCACTCAAACTAAGGAAGAAGAAATCAGCAAAAATGTCCTTAGTGTGTGTTTTGTGGATTTGCGGGGTGCATTAAGTTGCATTGAGAGATTCAGAATTTGCTTTGGTGTGGATTGGAATTCACATTTCCCAAAATGCACACATCCCCAAAAATGTGGGAGTCACCACAAAAAAGGATATTGCTATGCTTTAGTCTATGGGGCAATTGACACATTTGATAATTTTGCATATTTTTATATGGCAAAATAAGAAAGGTCCACAAGCCCTGTAGAACTTGTGCTACCTTGAAAAGCTGGTCTCATGCAGAAACCATGGGCTGGACTTCGAGAAATCCAGCTTTCTGCGTATTTCTCCAGCACCCCTAACACAGAAACAAATCGCTAACAGGATACACCCGCAGCCATTACCTGCAGAGCCTCTGCTTGGTGGACACCCTCCCGTGTCATAGACGGGGCCTCCACAGTGCTACCTGGAGCTGCCGGGGCCTGACCTCAGGTCCCTTTGCATCTGTCCAGCCTCCATCACAGAGCCAAGACCGTCCCAGTGAGATCCAGCAGCCGCGAGGCAAGAGAGGCTCGGCAAGGCTGCACAGTGCAGCCTTTTTGGTCAGGGCACCAGCCTCCTGACATGGACCTTGTGGGCCACAGGGCTCTTTGGAGTCCCAGCACAGAGGTCCTCCAGCCTTGCTGCCCGGATGCCAAAGGCCAGGCCCCCACCCCCTCCGCAGCTGCCTCTCCAATGTCCCTTGGAGGGGGCACAGGAAGGGGCCACAGCCATCCCCCTGTGCCAGCCTCCTTTCCTCCCCGTCTCCAACACGTCATCTCAATGCACAAAAACGGTGATAGGATGGCATCCTTAGTTTGGCCTACGGGGACGGCTCACGTATCTCCCATGTCATGTGTGTTTTGCCCTGAACACCAGTTCCAAGGAGACAGAGGGGCAGCCTGTGTCCCAAGAGCACTGGAAGTGCCAATCCATGCCAACATTTTTTCATGGTAGGGCTCCCATGCCCAGTAAATACAGCTTGACCTGCAGAAATACAAAAGGCAAAGGTTGCCCTGTTACTATATCAGCAAGGCTATATCTCCCCAGCTGGATTTTGCCTGAGTGAAGTGAGTCCAGCTACCTTTGTTCAAGTCCCAGAAGAGGTCTCAGGCTGGAATTTTATCCAGGGAAAGATTCCCAAAGATGATTCCTCATATTGCTGGCTCAAACCAAGGGCAACCTAAAGCAATCAAGCCAAAACTGTAAATGCTGACAGGTCCCCCGGGTGCATGTTTGCATTGTGTTCAAAAAAGTGAAATAATATTACATAAGATGCATATGCATTGTCAGACTATCCAGCAGCACCAAATCATTGCACTAATATTGATTTCAAAACTGGGTAAGTGGAGCCCATTTTCTCTGAAATGTTTCCACTAAGATGTGTTCTTATTCACCAGCATCCCATCCTTCATCTTCCTTCTATGCTGACTCAGAATTGCTACGGTTGGCAAGTTTCACGCCTTCGCCAACAACATGTATGTGAACCTGCCCACCACCCTCAGAGGATACTCCTTCCTGAGTCCTTTTAAGATTCCCAGCTTTATTAGGAATTAATGGTGTTTGATAGCCTATCGCATCCAACTGCCTACATGTCCTTCTTATTATAATAGTTCCCCTCATGCAGCTCTCCAACATGATGCACTTTGGGAGAAGTGTGTGAGTGGCCAAGGTTGAAAGCAGAACATGCAGGAATAGCTGGGAGGCAGGTCCTTGGTGCCCCTCGGGGGCCCTGCATCGCCTTCATGTGAGTTTAAGCCGGTTCAGACTCAGAACCAAGCATGGAAAATAGACACTTCTCCACCAAGTGGGCTATTTGCATGTACTTTGTGCCCATCATCAGAGGTAGGTATGGTGGGCAGTTGCTGAAGGTCCATGCAGTGGGAGTGGCCCCTTTTCTTTACCATAGCAGCCTGCTTTTCCACCTGCTTCTTGTTCTGGCCAAAGGCAACCATGCTGGTGAGATGGAAGAGCGGCAGATGCCACGGCATGCCATCTTCTCAGATGCCAAGATCTCTTCTTGCTGATGCCAGTGTGTAGGACACGGAATGATCATTTCAAGTTGCAACAACCCAGATTCAGGCTGGACATCAGGAAAAGCTTCCTCACCATCACAGCAATACAGCAGTGGAAGCAGCTGCCCGGAGAGGCGGTGGGCTCTCCTGCACTGGAGACGTTCAAAAAGGAACTGGGCAGCCACCTGAGTGGGGTGGTGCAATGCGGAGTCCGGCAACAGCAGGGGGGTGGACCCGATGGCTTCCGTGGGCCCTTCCAACTCATCTGTTTTATGATTCTATGATTCAGTGGTTCTCCTGCTGGCAAGCAAGCAAATGGTAGCAACGAAGCTGAGGAGTGAAGACAGCTGGTGAGAGCGGCAGTGAGAAGACCAGCTCATGAGACACTTTGCCTTTGGCCAGCATCATCTGTGTCCTTAACGTACATAATTCCTCCTTTCACAGGTGAGGGGGAACTTTCCAGGTTGGCTGTGCCCTTTCCTCTTCTGATGTCACCAAAACAAAGTCGACAAAGAAGTGCCACAGAACAGGCGTGAGAGTGGGGAGCGTCTGAGCAAACCCTGATCTCTCTCTCTCTCTCCCCCCCCCCCTCTCAAAGGCTGTTGCTCAATTTGCAGCCCTGTCCAGGGATGGGACCCAAAGCAAAAAGACAAAAAGCCCTTGTAATGCTAATTAGAGGCCAGCAGCTCACACCTCTTCATCGGTAGGTGTGCCTAGAAATTCACACTGGAGGAGGAGGAGGAGGAGGAAGAGGCGGCAGCGTCTAAGGCCCAGTAAAGGTGTGAGGCTGCAAGAAGTGAGCAATGAGTCGCAAGTGAGGGCAGGCCTGGCCAGGCGGGACAGGAAAGGAGGGAGCGGAGAAAAGGGATGAGAACTGGGGCTCATACAAACCTGGGACTTTGCTGGAGACAACACCACCTGCCCATGGCGATAAATGCTCTCTGGAAGTCTTTCTGGCACACTGCCCATTAAAGGGGAGCGGAAGAGTTCGAGGTGGACATCCAGTCACAGTGATCTTGCCCCACTTCTGAGTGTGTTGCGGGTAGGTAGAACTGCTTTTTCTCTGCTCACAGATGGCATCTTTTCTGGGCTTTTGCCATAGGAGGAGGACTTGATTGGGAAGCAAAACGTCCAGCTCATGACCAAAGATAGGGTTGGACTCAATGCTTAAAGGTGAAATCCATGGGGCAGTACACGTCATCACTCACTCACGTCCCATTAATATGAATGGGTCTGCTAGACATTTTTCAGCTGTCATGCATTTCAATAAATCGGGGCAAAAACAAAATTTGAAAGCATAACAGCTCAGCGGGGATGACAAGCAGGAGTGTCTGGGTCCAGCGGATGGTCTGTTGTTTGGCTAGTCGTGATACCTGGGGAGACTTGGCCTTGGAGATACAGCCAGTCATGACTTCAGGACTAGATTACTGCAGGGATTGTGATGTGGGGCTGCCCCTGAGGCTGCCCTGTCCTGGAAGAAGCTGCTGGTGCACTGCCCTTTCAGCCTGCAAGTCCTTTGCTGAAGGTGTTGATCTGGCTGCCTAGTCTCCACCAGTCCAGGATTCAGGCTCTTATAGCAGTGCGCAAAGCCCTAAATAACCCGAGGCCAGACACATGAGAGCACCGTCTCCCTTACAAACCCACCCGGTCACGGGAGGGCATTCGCACTTGGACCCATGGCCCAACTGGAGTCCAGCAGGAGAAAAGCTTTCATTGTGGTGGTCCCATTTTCGTGGAATTCCCTTCCTCTGGAGGCCAGGCAGTCTCTGCCACTGTGCTGAAGATGCCTTTCTTCTGAGGAGCCTCCTCAAAAGGCTTTCTTGGTAAACTGCCTGGACACTTTTCACTAATGGACAGTAGAGAACTGAAATGAATAATAATATTAAATACCCTCTTGCCGATCAGTCACAGCTTTAAAGTTAATGTGTTGTTTTTATTCTTTTGTCTGTTTTATTGTTCACTGCTCCAGAATCTGTTTAGATGTGGCACAGTATACAAATATTCTAAATAAAATAAAAATACTACCTAAAAAGTCATCAAGGTAGTATACAACAATATAAAACATGTGGTAACAAAACTAGAATGGTGATTATACATTTTTACTTGCTTTTTGTTCTTTTAAAAGGTATGGTTGCTGATTTCATTAGGAAATTATATATATTTATATATATATATAATATATAGGAAATTTATATATATATATATATATATATATATATATATATATA